GTTGCAAAATAAAAAGCACCAGAAAATTTCCATTGTATACCAGCTTTATGAGGCACACTTTTAATTACTACTGTAGTTAATATACGAAAATCTTCATCACTCATATTATATTTACGTTTAAGCATATTTTCAAACGTTTGTAATGCAATACGTTGTTTATCTTCGTGTTCCGATTCAAATGCATCAAATATTGCCGCACCAACAAGAAGATAAGTAAATGTGCATACAATAAGGGATAATGTACGTATATTCTGACGTTTCATTGTACAAAAAAAAAAATGTCAACCGACTTTTCAAAAAAAAAAAATTGTTTTTTTTTTTGTTGAAAGTCGGTCGATTTTTATTTATTATCCGATTGCCATATAATTAAGAGAGAGAGAGTTCTTCTAATCAACAAACAACAAACAGAAAATCAAAATCAAAGAACTCTTTCTTTCTTTTTTCCCTTGTTTTGCATTAAATGTCCATAACAACGACGATAATTCTATGTTATTCCAGTATTCTTTGTAAATGTTTTTTACGTTTTTTTTTATTTCCAAAACAACAAAAAAGAAAAAGATTAAACAATCTTTATTGTCGTCTCTATTTTTCGTCGCTAATTTCACGACAATTCACTATACACATAGGGTATATTCGCACTATGTTTTATTATTTTGGTTGATTTGTTTTGAGAAGGAAAAGAAAAAATTTTATGATCGTCGTCGTCGTCGTTGTTTGCAGTGGAAGAGAGGAAAACCAATCACCAAACATAACACAGAGAGAAACCAAAAAAAAAACCATTATTATTATTTGCCGAATCAAATTGATTGGACATGACATTCACACAAACACACATAACACATTCACAACACAAAGACACCCACCGGACACACTGCAGTGGTAAATGAATAAAATGATGAAGAATTGCTTGCAGTCAAAGTTAAACAGCCAAAAAAAAAGTTTGATGTGCAAAGAATTGACGTGATATTGATGATGACAATACGATAGTGGTGATGGTGATAGTGATGAGTTGTGATGGTCAGTTGTTGTTGTTGTGGTGGTCACATACTGATTTCATTGGAAAATTGATTCAAAAAAATCAATTGAAAAAAAACAAACAAACAAACGAATGGCAATGACAACAACGAAAGAATATTGAAAACTTTTTTTCGCTGCTGTTGACGATTATTATTGATCACATTTTTTTTTCTTGTGGTTTCCACCGGGTTAATGATTTTTGAAGAATCATTTTAAAAAAAGCTCAATTTTTCATTCTATTTGTACATTGTTTTTTGCAGGTTGTTTGATTGAGTTATGCAAAATTGGTTGACAAAAAAAAAAATTTTTTTGGTTATCAGGTAAGGCAACAGAATTTGTACAGGTAGATTTGATTTGATTGATGATTTTCAAAGGTAACATTTTCATCATCATCATCATTGTTGTTGTTTGTCATCATCATCATCGTTGTTGTTGTTGAGGCTCATCAATAATTAATAAATCAGGTACAGAAAATGATTGATTTCATTTCATTTCTTCTTGGTTTTGTATTTGTATTTGGCCCAGAAAAAAATAAAAATTAATTCAATTTTTTGTTTCGTTGAATTCAATGGAATAAATTTTCTTCGATATTTGATGATGATGATGCTTGCTTTACTTTATAAATAATTTAACATCCATCCATGGCCAATGGCAAAATTTCATTATTATTATTATTTACCTAGTTGTTGTTGTTTTTGGGGTAATGAAATCAAAGAAAAAAGAGAAATTATTAATAATCATCATTAATAATCAATAAACAGAAAAAAAAGTAATAATTGAATTTGTTGTAAATTTATAGATCACATTTGTAAAAAAAAATTGACCCATCGGGTGAATTATGTGTTAAGAATTGTGTTGTTGTTGTTGTTGTTTCAAACCTATAGTTATTATTATTATAGGGGAGAAACGAAAAACAAAAACACATCCCACAGACACACATTTAGTAAAATTCAATGTTTTTTTGCTTTTCGCTCATAGTCAACCTAACCTAACTTGAACTAAAAGTCATCCGAGTCATATTTGACTATTTTTCTTTTCACTACTTTTTGTTTTTTTTCTGGTTATTTTTAGTAACCATTAACTATCTTTTTTTTGTCAAACAACCGGGTGTTTTTTCTTTTTGTTTCCCAATTTATTTTGACCAAAAATAGAAAAAACAAATCTTGTTTAGCCAAAAAAAAATACAATATGTTGATTGAGAATAGTACCATCAAATGACAAATCATCATCATCATCATCATAATCCATTTCATTTAATTTTCAACGAAAACAAAAACAAAAAAAAAATCCCACCAAACAACAACGATGACCATCATATTACGCATGAATGAAATATTTGGTCAGTTTTTTTTCGCTTTCATCATCATCATCGTTGTTTGCTTATTGTTTGTTTATTGCTTTAAACATAACAAAATTGACGTATGTCTCTCTCTATGTATATGACATTGATCTACTTGAGCCAACTTGAAATTAATTTACTTTCCGTTTCCCTCACATAGAATGGCTATATAG